AATCAAACCCCCAATCAATTGCTTAGAATGTTTAGGATTTTATTTTCGATTTTTGTGATTTGGACGATCATATAGTAGACGAAGCTCCGAATAGCCTTCCTTCGAGATCGAACCGAGTCGGGTAGCTCGGTTACCACATGCCCATCATATATATGCTAAACACCTTGTCCGTGACTCTGGGGGCAGCTGGCTAGGTGGCTTTGCAATGAACATTGAGTATTGTTCGATTACTAGGGCGGAACTATAGGGCCTTTTTCAAGGTTTGCTTCTCGCCTGGGACATGGGGTGCAGGAAAGTTATTGCCGAAGAGTGTGGTGGGCTTGGCAAATGGGGATTCATTGGAGCTTGGAGTGTATGGTACTTTGGTTCGGGCGATCCGGGAACTTCTTGCCTGAGATTGGGAAGTTACAGTGACTCATTGCTTTCGCGAAGCTAACTTTGCGGTGTACTGCTTGGCGGCTCTCGGCCATCGTGGTCCTAGTGGTTGTCACCGATTATCTGATCCCCCATTAGAAGTTAAACTGTGGCTACAGCATGACCTCATTGACGTTGCTTACCCGCGGCATATAACTGTTTAATGGTTCTAGGCTTTAGCCTCCTTTCTTTGTACCAAAAAAAGTATCACTATATAAAAGTCATAAGCTATTTAGAAACGAGTTCCTTTAATCATGAGTTTTTTACCCAACAATCTATATCTATATAATAAGAGATATAATAAAAAATATTGTTTTTTTAATTAATTTTTATTAATATCTACAATAATTTCATTAATATACATTATAATGAATTTGTTGAGTAAAGATGACAATATGGCATACGAATTAAAAAAAGGAGAAAAGTAAACAACACAAAATTTACGTGGTTCGGCAATATGCCTACGTCCACGGCGGCTGAGGGATCTTTATTATTCTCAATAGTCTCAAATACATCAATACACCATGTATTTATACTATAACACTACAAGGTATTAATTTACTTAAATATCCCGTACCGTACCGCGGGGGCTCTGCCCCAGCACCCCCGTCCATACCGCGGGGGCTCCGCCTCCGCACCCCCGGCCCAACTAATCGATCCAGGTCCACTCCGCTCACTTTGCTCGGTCGCTCCGCTTCCCTCGCTACATTCTCTCCGTTACGCTCGCAGGCATCAGCCTGTCTCCTTCTTTGTCAATATATGAGTCATATCAACAAATCTCCACCTTGGCGAATATATCACCTCCTTAGGAGAACACAATAGCGAGCACCTCTGCGAGACACACCAAGCAGGCCGGGGGTACAATGCAACTCTAGCATGCAGAAACATTCAACAAATCCAAGCAATGCTTGAATTTGTCAGAAGTAACAGTCTTAG